GACTTCAAAGTATAAAGAGCACTAACAAACTATTATCAACATGCAAATACTCAGGGCATATTATTCCCATGGCCACTTTCTGAAGAATCTAGTTGAGAATGAGCTTGATCAATTCAAATGACTACAGAGACATGATCACAGACAGCATTAAACATGTAGTTACTTACAGAACTGAGATTAGTTGAGAGCTAAAATGGAAAGAGTATTCTCTATAATGGACACACGTTTCAACAATACAGAAATAGTACAATATTTTAAAACTAGGGGAGAAATAGCAAAAGCAGATATAAACTTTTTGGATTTTTAAAAACCTATTCTCAGTAATTACACTGGGGATGGTAGCATTAGTATTATTGACACCATTATGTATATAATCTGGGATAAAATAAATGAGTGATTATGGAGTAGTCTATCATCCCCTGTGTCCTTGAAAACCAGGATTCCTGCTGTGGAAGAAAGGGGATAGATGTAATACAGAACAGGTTAAATTAAAAATCACAAAATGGAAGTATCAGTGTAAACTGATTGTGGCATTTTATCTCAGTCTGTCCACTGCAGTGGCCTAGAAACCTAATAGCAATGAGCACACCCAGGGCCTAGACAGGGTCCTCAAAATACTATTTCCTACTAAAAGATACTAGAGCTTCTTAAAGAAATGGCTTTAAGGGTGAGGGTAGGGATGGGAGCAGATCTTGTCATTACAAAAAGCAAAGCTATGAAGCCATGAAGCCATGAAGGACCACCAGGGTCACTGCTAGGACTCAGGACAGCTGCTTAAAGCTGGGGATGGGAATCGGTGATGACCGCAAATGGGCATGTGGTTTCTTTTAGGGCTGATAGATATGTTCTAAAATTTGATTGTGATGATATAGATAAATTTTTGATACAAACCCAAAATAAGTGAGTTGTATCAACAGTCAGCTTTCTAGTGGTGAAACTGTACTATATAAAAAATATGAAACTGTACACTTAGTATGTTGAAACTTATGGTATGTAAATTACATCTCAATAAAGCTGTTGGAAAAAAAGATATGCCCAAACCTTCAAAAGGGATCATGATTTTGGTGTAAAATAAAATAAAATAAAATATGTTTTGTTTTGTTTTCCCCAGAGACAGGGTCTCACTCTGTCAGCCAGCCTGGAGTACCACAGTGCTATCACCGCTTACTGAAACCTCGAACTCCTGGGCTCAAGTGATCCTCCCACCTCAGTCGCCTAAGTAGCTAGGACTATGGACACACGCTACCATACCTGGCTAATTTTTTGTATTTTTTGTAGAGATGGGGTCTCTCTCTCTCTCTTGCCCAGGCTAGTCTTGAACTCCTGGCCTCAAGCGAACATCTGCTTTGGCTTCCCAAAATTCAGCTGGGATTATGGGCATGAGCCACCATGCCTGGCCATAAAATATATTTAAATCCATGAGTTCATGAAGACTTTTTTAAATCCAGTGATTACACAAATCTACATTTGTGGTAAAATTGTACAGAACTAAATATATACACAGACACACAAATGAATAATATAAAACTGGTGAAATCAGACAAAAACAAGTGGGTCATATGAATGCTCAATTTTCCAGCTGTGAAACCGTACTATAGTTATATAAGATGGTACCATTGGAGGAAACTGGGTGAAAAGTACACCAGATCTCTCTGTATTATTCCTTACAATGCATGAGAATATATGATTATCTGAAAATGAAATATTTAATCAAAAAATACTCTAACTGGTCACCTTTGAAGAACAGTAGGGAACCAAATCATTATCTTAAAAGCTAGTAAAGAATCAAGCATTTATCCTATCTTTCCTGTATGACCTGCAACAATAGTTAAGAAACAGTAGATGAATGGAACTATCTCTTTATGAAAGAATCTCCATCAATAAATGAAAAAGATTAGATTATCACCATCTAATATGGTTTGGCTATGTCCCCATCCAAATCTCATCTTGAATTATAGCTCCTATAATCGCCAACTGTCATGGGAGGGACTCGGTGGGAGGTAACTGAATCATGGGAGCAGGTTTTCCTGTGCTGTTCTGATGACAGTGAATAAGTCTCACGAGATCTGATGGTTTTATAAAGGGTAGTCACCCTGCACACACTCTCTTGCCTGCCACCATGTAAAACGTGCCTTTGCTCCTCCTTCACCTTCAGCCATGACTATGAGGCCTCCCCAGTCATGTGGAACTATGAGTCCATTAAACCTTTTTCTTTATAAATTACCTAATCTTGGGTATGTCTTTATTAGCAGCACGAGAAGAGAGTAATACACCATCTTATGGCCCCCAATGGATTAATGGATTAGACACTAAGCATCAACAGCCACTAACATCGTAAAAAGAAACAGCACCAGACATCAGGTGCCTCGTGGGGAAAGAACCCACCAATTATCTGATGTCTTACTGTAGGGTTCATACCTGAGTCTGATGACACTTGGGGATCCAGCTACCAATTTGCAGGAAATACAGAGGTCAGAGAGAATAGGTGAACAGCACCATGACAGAGCATTCAGCAAAATCCAGACTGTAGGAAAGTCTCAAGGCTAAATGTCCTAGATTCTTCAACAGATAAATCATTGGACGAAAAACTAGGGGGTAAGGGGAAGCAACGCAATGAAAGGGAAGCCTGTAGATTAGAAGAGTCTTAAAAGACACAAATTTCCTTTAAATTGGCAAGATTAAACTTGATGTACACCTGGATAATAATATTATAAAGAAATGCAAACAAGTGTCTACTTTGAGAAGCAGGGTAGTGGCTACTTTAAGGACAGAGAGGGGTGATGATTAGGATGTGGCACCTGGATGGGGCTGCTAGGGCAGGCAGAAAAATTCTAATTGTGGACCTAAGGTGAACCAGGTGTGTTCACCTTAGGATAACTCAGTAAGCTGCACATTTGTGTTGTGTTATTTTCTGTATTTGTCTAATTTTACAAAAAAAAAAAAAAGATTTTTTTTTTAAAAAAGGAGAATTTATCTCACTTTTATAACCTGTCATAAATAGAATGCAATAGTTAAAATAATTACATGAAAATAATATTATTAACTAGCTGCAGTAGCCTGAGGACACTTCCAAGCCCTTTTCTATGTTAAAATGGAGAATAACAAGCGTAGTCAAGTGTTAAGGATATGCTAGCACTCAAGAGTCTTTCTTTTTAATCAAGTCTTGAAAGACACCTAAAAAGAAAGCACTTTCTCACTATGTGATTCAGGGAGATCGGAGGCTTGCCTATCTACCACTCAAAATCATCTTCCCTACTGCTTAAATTTACTTCATAGGCCAGCTCACATCTTACTCTTCTGGAGACACTGAGTTACAAAAAACAAAAGGTCTGGTGCAGTGAATGAAGGTAAGTCAGGCCTTATGAGGAGGATGAAAAAAACAAAAACTTTGCTCTCCCTGATCATCAACAGATTTATGTTACTCGTTCAGCCCTTTCTAAATAAGCTTAAAAGGTTTGCTTTTCCATTATAAGCATTTAAGCAAGTGACTGACACTACAACCCGGTGAGAGCCGCTTGTCCTCATCCTAGTTACAAGCACACACACTTCACTATGTACTCAACAGGCACCTTCAGAGCCTAGCAATGACCCACCTCTGTCTTCACACCCAATGTGTTTGGAGGTTCTCAAGTGACAAGAGGCCCTGTATCTGAAAACCCAAATTAAAAATATAAGCACAAACGCCCTCCCTCACCTGAACTCAGTATCTTAAAATGAGGCCCCCTGTCCCAAGTTGCTGGCTCATCAACACTAGCCTAAACTGACCTCAAAGTCCTTTAAAAAAAAAGGTGGGGGGGGTATCAGATTCCATATTAGACTTATAAACTTGTAAGGACCAAAGCAAGCTGTGAATTCGAATGGAACTCAATCACATTTTTCAAACATTTATCTAAAACACATATTAAAAAGTGACTCGATTCACCTATATATGATCTGAAAACAAGTCTTGTTTTACTTCACCATTTCCCCCAAGTTTTTCTACGTTAGTTTTAAGAAAAAGAAAACATAAGCCAGGACAGTTTAATTTTTCTTGCACTGATGCTCACAAGAGAGGACAGAGTGAGGCCCACCCATAAAGATGAAGTGCAGACAGGAACTAAAAGGCAACTTGCATTAAAAACGAAGATAAGGGTTGGATTCCTGTCTTCAATGCCACTAGCTTCATCAGCTTCCCTTGAGTGGGCAGACCCCCATTTCCTTCCCTCTCTCACCATCTCCTATCTCTTTTGCATTCTCTACCCTCTTTGTTTTGTGAACCCTCAACTTCCCAGCTTACCCTCACTCCATCCCTTGTTCTTATATTTTCAAGAGACATGTATGCAAGCAAATACTCAAACATACACAAACCTGCTAAAATGTCTGGAACAAGAATTCCAAGTTCCACTCATCACAAAGGTGCTTGTGGAAGTCTACTCCACCATTTGTTTCCATGATGTCTGAGAAAAACACACCTCATCTGCATCCCCTGGATCCTCCATATGAGAGGGTATACCCCTGCGTGTAAGAACCAGTTCACCACCTCCATTTTTTATGAATATTCAGAACAAAAGGCTCCTTTCTTGAATGCTACTCTGATCCCATGAATTCAAAAATGTTTAAGGAAGCTCTATCTCCACACCAGCACCTGAGGAGATGGAGACTTTAAGAATAGAATTTTAAAATGTTCCCATTGAGTCCTCCATTCTAGAAATGGCTATAAGTAAATGAAACTCAGAAGTATCTGGAGCCTACTGAGCTCTACCTAGCAACACAGTGTGTTCCTTGGCACATGAGACAGAAACTCAAGGCAGACCCAGCACTTCCTCAGATACCGTCTTGTCCCATTTTCCTTAAGATAAGGCGTCCTGGTCCATGGGCCTATTATTTGGGGTCAGGCCTCAGCAGGAGAATGGTTAGGTGTCAGGGGGAGAGGGGGGTGACATGTGTGGTTTGGATTTTTCACCCAAACCCTTTTCAATGGGCCTTTGAGAAATACAGGAGCCTATTGAAACATTACTTACTGCCTGTTGAATATTGGTCTTCACTTGCTCACTCAACATGCCTTCAAAGACAAAGGAGTCGCCAAACTTCTCAGCCTATAAGGAAGGTAGGAAATAAAAATCCAGAAAAGGTTGTGGTAATGTGTTTCATGTGTGCCATTTTCTCTCCACACTATTAAAGTTATTCCTCTTGTCCGGTTGAACTTGGGTCTTTCTTATGACTTCCCAGGGGACTCAGAAATGACCTAAAAGTCTCTGGCTTCCTCTTAAAACAAGTTAATGTCACTTACAGAGACCATTTTCATTTAAGACTCACTTAGCTGATAAGAATGCAGACTGAACAAGATTAGTTTTTGAGAACATGACTGTTTCTGAAGGAAATACACTTCCCCAAGTATTACAAATGACTCTGGGAAATAGTATTCTGTACATGTGAGATTACATAATCAAGTTTTGTCCTTTGTCCTGAATCTAGCTAAATGAATAAAATGGCACTGTTTGCTCATATTCTGACACATTCTAGCTCCACTAAGGGGTCAAATGTGCTTACAAATCTCAACTGGCCAATTCAAGCACCAAATGGAAATCTGTATTTTAATGATTTTATTTAACATTAGTGTCTCAAGTCTTCATCCACCTATCCACCTGATTATTTTTGTTGTATGTAACCCTGTTCTGAAAATTAGGTCATTTGGCCCTTGGTAACCATGACTCTCCTCCTACGTTTCTGAGTGTTCTTATTCATCTCCTAAAATATGTGGGCTCTTGTTTCAGCCACTGAAACACTGTTGCTCCCCAGAGCTCTGCCCTTGGCTCTCTGCACTTCTACTACAACAGTGGCTCTCAGGCTTTGTGCAATTGAGATTATGTAATCAGCTGGTTCAAGCTATATACTGCTGCTCCCCAACCCCAGAGATTCTGATTCTGGGGCTCTAGGGTGAGGTCAAGGAGTCTGTATGTGTAAATAGCACACAGCTAGTCATTCTAATACAGGTAGCTCAAGAGATACACTTTGAGATACACTGATCGATGCTTATTGATGGACAACTTCTTTCAACCTCATCAAATTAACTATAGCCAGTACTCCAAATGACTCTCAAATCTCTACCTCTAGTTCTGTCCTGTTCTTACTAGATGAAATTAACTGAGTACCGGATCTTATATGGCAGATCTTACAAGCACCTCCAACTCCTTTTCCGGAGGGGAGGCTACCATCTCTTCTTCACCCCAATCTTCTTCCTGCATTCCCTTGTGACACTGCCATGACTAACTACCTAAGCCATTTATTTATCCAACAAATGTGTATCAAACACCTACCATGTGCCTAGTTTGGGGCTAAATTAGGGGATATAAGGTCAATATCAGATAGCCATGGTCCCTATCCTTATTGTGCTTAAGTGTGGGAGCACAGAAAAAATCAAGCAAAGAATGGAAGAAAATAATTATAACTTTACTTCACCTTGTAAGGTAAAGAGTGTCATGAAAAACGTTCTTGAGAAAGTGATACTTAAGATGAGACGACTCAAGAATGAGAAGGAGCCAGTCATGCATAAGGGGGATAAGCAAGAGAACTGTGAATTCCAAGCAGAGAGAAAATAAGGACCAAGCTCTTGAGGTAGGAAAGAATGTTGAGTTTTCAAGGAATAGAAACAAAACCAGCAGGGCTAGAACACGGTACACAAGAGGAGTGTGATATAAAGTGAAGCTGGAGAGATGGGAAAAGAAGTCTATAGAGTGCCATTAAAAAAAATAGAGCATATGGTCCAAGGCAGTTCTTGGTCCTTTTTGAGCTCCTTGGCAGTATGGTGAAGCTTAAGAACCCCCTTCTCAGAATAAAACATTTAAATGCATAAAATAAAATCAATAGTATTATGAGGAAAAGTCATTATATCAAAATATTAATAAGCAAATTAGTGCTATAGTATTAAATATGCTCTTCATTAATATATTAAATAAGATCTAGTGGCAGGTCTCATAATTATCATATTTCAAAGTGGGGATGAATGCAGACAATATTTCAAGATCTCTGCAACAACAAAAATATGATTAAAAATGTCTGTGATTTCTACTGGTAACAAAGTCAGAGGTACTGCTACTACTGCTGTGGTTTGTTGTTTGCATCATAATTGAAGGAAATACTACATTTGGGCTCGAGGGTAGTAAATAACCAGATACATTAGATTGGTGCAAAAGTAATCACGGTCTTTGCCATTAAAAGTAATGACAGAAACCGTAATTACTTTTGTACCAACTTATAACTTTTCCCCATCCATGTTTTTAGATGCCCTAAGTTCTGCTTATTCTATCTAATCTTCATGGAGAACCCTGGTTCTTTAGAAGTCTTCTAACTTAAGTAAACTAATGAGGAACTTGAGCTGAGAATATCCTGTGAAACCAAAAGGAAAAGGACTTCTGCTTACTAGAAATGTGTACAAAAAAGGTTTCTAACCACTTTGTATATTTGAGGAAATTCCAAAGAAATGTGACAATGCAAAACCAAATTTGAAAGTTGTTTTACTTTATACATTCACTCTCAAATTATTCATTTAATAATAATTTACAAAAAGACATTTGGGGCCTTAAAGAAAAAAAAAAGGAACAGGGACTCCATGAACTGAAGACAAGAGTAAAGTTTTTCTGTGAGAGAAAACTGGAAAGCAAATAAAATAAGTGTATTTCAGAAAGTGACATAAACATTCATAGACTAGAAAGCCTTCCTCTTCCTATTCCCATTTAGGACAACATCCACTTTCAGAACCTTGCTTTGTGATTCAGTGACCACCAGATAATGTTTGGAACTGCCACAGCACAGTGTGTGTGAGTTGTCAAGGTGTTGGAATAAAGCCAAAAAAATGAAAAACTGCACTTCTGCATTTATCACTTAAAAATTATGAAATGCTTCTGGAAAAACCAAACTGCGATTTACTGAGAAGAAAAGTGGTCTTACTTTGCATGCCATCTGTTATCTCAGAAAGCCTTAGTGGTCAGTGGCATTCTCTGACACATTAAGCATTAACACAATATAGTATAATAGTTACAGCACAGGTTCTGAGGTCACACTGGCCAGGCTGGAATCCCAGCTCTACCACCAACTAGCTGTGTGATGTGGGGCAAATCACTTTTCTGATCCTCAGTATGTCACCTGAAAAATAACCTGCCTCATAGGGTTGTTGTGAGAAATGAAGATGAAATATATACAATAAAATGCTTCACACAGTAATGTGGTAAAAGTGGTCAGTCACTCTTAGCTGCTATTAAAGCATTCTTAAAAGTTCTGGAAAAGAACAAGTTCTCCCTCCTTTCCCCAATCCCATTACCTCTGTCAAATAGTCAGTTGAGTTCACAAACTTCTCAAATTCAGCATTACTGACTTCATAGGCATCCATGTAAAAGGCATCAATAGTAACTCTCCTCGCAGGTGCTTCCCCATCCTGCTTTATCTGAGGATCATCTGTGCCCATTGTAAATACTCCGGCAGGGATGGGGACCATCTACAATGAAAGGTGAAACACAGGAAGTCATGCATCACAACCAAGGTGTACCTGTGTAGGGGTAAGGTTCCTAGCACCCAGTAAGCACTCAATAGTTAGTAAATCTTCACCACAGTAATAACTGTAAAATTGGGAAAAATCTCTCTATACTCCAAAGAAGGTGAATCACAAGTCTCTCAAAAAGAAGTGAAAATTCTTTAGGAAGGTAATCTTAATCAAACCTCTACTGATACAAATCTATACCTGTACTGGAAACAGGTCTGGAATAACAGTCACCAAGCCACTAATGGCTGGAATGCAGAGGTAGGGAGAATATTCAACTTTCCTTTTCTTTTGAGACAGGTTCTCACTCTTTTGACCAAGCTGGGGTACAGTGGCATGATCAGGGCTAACTACAGCATTGACTATTGACTTCCCAGATTCAAGAGATCCCCCCACCTCAGTCTCTCAAATGGCTGGAGTACAGACATGTGCCACCATGACCAGCTAATTTTTTTTTTTTTTTTTTTTTTGAGATGGAGTCTTGCTCTGTCACCCAGGCTGGAGTGCAGTGGCATGATCATGGCTCACTGCAACCTCCATCTCCTGGGTCCAAGCAATTCTCCTGCCTCAGGCTCCCGAGTAGCTGGGATTACAGGCGCCCACCATCATGCCCAACTAATTTTTGTATTTTTAGTAGAGACAGGGTTTCACCAAGTTGACCAGGCTGGTCTTGAACTCCTGACCTCAGGTGATCCACCTGCCTCAGCCTCCCAAAGCACTACAATTACAGGTGTGAGCCACCGCGCCCAACCTAGCTAATTTTTTTTTAAGCCATGGAGTCTCACTGTGTTGCCAAGGTTGGTCTCCAACTCCTGGGCTCAAGTGATCCTCCCACCTCAGCCTTCCAAACTGCTGGCATTATGAGCCATCGTGACCAGCCCCACTGTTTTCTTTATACATATTTTATTCGCATATGCTTTTGTTTCTTTGAATTATTTTTAAAAGCACATGTAAAAATGCAATCTCTATCTTTAAATAACCACTGCATGAATTTTGGCCTCCAACAATCATGAAAAAGGCTTACCTCACTAAAATAGAAAGTTTTAAAGTTTACTAAGGGGCTATGTGTTGTATAATTCCTTATAAAAACCCTAATTGCAATTACTTTGTTCCTATCTACCTTCCCACATGAACTCTAAACTCCAAGAAGACAGCAACTGGGGCTGCCTTATTCACAGCTCTGTTCCCAACACTGAGCACAGGGTCTGAGGATCACACTGAAAATGTTCAGTTAAAAAATGCAGGTCCATGCTCAACATCATGAGTCATTAGGGAAATGCAAATCAAAACTATAATGAGGTTCCACTTCATGATCACTAGCATGGCTATAACAAAAAAGACACAATAACAAGTGTTGATGAGGATGTGAAGAAATTGGAACCCTCATATATAGCTGGTAAGAATGTAAAATAGTTCAGCTGCTTTGGAAAACAGTCTGGCAGTTTCTCAAAAAGCTAAACAAAGAGTTATATGACCCTGCAGTTCTCCTAGGTATATACCCAAGAGAAATAAAAACATATGTCCATGCAAAAACTTGTACAAAAACATTCATAGCAGCATTATTCATAATAGCCAAAAAGCAGAAACAATCCAAATGTCTATCAACTGATGAATAAGTAAACAAAATATGGTATATCTATAAAATGGAATAATATTCAGACATAAAAAGAAATAAGTACTGGTTCATGCTACAGTATGAGTGAACCTTGAAAATACTATACTAAGTGAAAGAATCCAATCACAAAGGGCCACATATTGTATGAATCTATTCATATGAAATGTCCAGAATAGACAAATCCAAAGAGACACAAAGTAGATTAGTGGTTACTAGAGGGAGGCAGGAATGGGGAATGATTGCTAATGGGCATAGGGTTTCTTCTTGAGATGATGAAGTATTCTGGAATTAGGCAGTGATAGTTGTAACACCTCATAACTATACTAAAAACCACTAAATTGTACATGTTAAAAGAGTGTATTGTGTGCTATATGAATTCTATCTCAACTTTTTTAAAAAACCACAGGGCTTCAACCATACCATCTGTCAGAAATACACTCTTAACAGACATAATGCCTTATTTTCAAATTATTTGAGTGAGTCAATTAATAGAGTCCACAGCAGCTTAGGAACTGTCAAGTCCCTCATCCATAAACAAGGGTTCAATATTACAGAATAAAATGGATCATAAGAAACTACTTATAAACAATTATATATCTACAAATTTGATAACCTTGAAAAAAAATGGATAAATTCCTAGAAACATAAAGCCTATCAAGACCAAATCAAGAAGAAGTAGAAAATCTGAACAGACTGATAACAAATAAGGAAACTGAATAAATAATTTTAAAAATTGGCCAGGCACAGTGGCTCACACCTGTAATTCCAGGACTTTGGGAGGCTGAAGCAGGTGGATCACCTGAGGTCAAGAGTTTGAGGCCAGCCTGGCCAACATGGCGAAACCCTGTCTCTACCAAAAATACAAAAAATTAGCCAGGTGTGGTGACATGCACCTGTAATCCCAGCTACTTGGGAGGCTGAGGCAGAAGAATCACTGGAACCCAGGAGGCGGAGGTTGCAGTGAGCCGAGATTGCACCACTGTACTCCAGCCTGGCGACAAAGTGAGACTCTATCTCAAGTAATAATAATAATAATAATAGTAATTTTCCATCAAGAAAAGCCTAGAACCAGATGACTTCATGGCAGAATTCTAATTTAAAGAACAACTATTACCAATCATTCTCAAATTCTTCCAAAAAATTGAAGAAGAGGAAACACTTCCAAACTCATTTTATGATACCAGCATTACACTGATACCAAAGCCAGACAAGAATACTACTAGAAGAAAAAATATATATATATACAGGCCAATATCCCTAATGAACATAGATGCAAACATTCTAACAAAATACTAGCAAAGTGAATTCAACAGCACATTAAAGGGATCATACGCCAAAATTAAGTGGGGTTTATTCCTAGGATCAAAGGATGGTTCAACATATGCAAACCTACACATGTGATATGCCATGTTAGCAGAATGAAGGGCAAAACCAAACATTCACTTCAATATATGAGAAAGACATTGGCGAAATTCAACATCTTTTCACGACAAAAACTCTTGACAAATTAGGCATTGAAGGAATGTACCTTAATATAAGCCATATATGAAAAGCCCACAGCTAACACTATACTCAATGGGGAAAAATTGAAAGCTTTTCCTCTTAAATTCAGAACAAGCCATGGATGCATACTCTTGCCACTTCTACTCCATATAACACCGGAAGTCCTAGACAGAGCAATCAGACAAGATAAAGAAAGAAACAACATCCAAGCTGGAAACAAAGACGTTATATTGTCCCTGATTGTAGATGCCATGATTGATTTTTTTTGAGACAGAGTCTCACTCTGTCTCCCAGGCTGGAGTGCAGTGGCGTAATCTCGGCTCACCGCAAGCTCTGCCTCCCAGGCTCATGCCATTCTCCCGCCTCAGCCTCCCGAGTAGCTAGGACTACAGGCAGCTGCCACCACGCCCGGCTAATCTTTTTATTTTTTTATTTTTTGTATTTTTAGTAGAGACGGGGTTTCACTATGTTAGCCAGGATGGTCTCGATCTCCTGACCTCGTGATCCACCCGCCTCAGCCTCCCAAAGTGCTGGGATTACAGGCGTGAGCCACCACGCCCGGCCAGCATGATCTTATATACAGAAACCTAATGGCTCCACCAAAAAACTGTCAGAACTGATATATGAATTCAGCAAAGTTGCAGGACACAAAAATCAATATGTAAAAATCTGCAGCATTTCTTTTTTTTTCTTTTCTTTTTTTTGAGACGGTGTCTCTCTCTGTCAGCCAGGCTTAAGTGCAATGGCGTGACCTCAGCTCATTGCAACCTCCACCTCCCGGATTCAAGTGATTCTCCTGCCTCAGCCTCCCGAGTAGCTGGGATTACAGGTGCCTGCCACCACGCCCAGCTAATTTTTGTATTTTTTGTAGAGACAGGGTTTCATCAAGTTGGCCAGGCTGGTTTCGAACTCATGACCTCAGGCGATCCACCCGCCTTGGCCTCCCAAAGTGCTGGGATTACAGGCATGAGCCACCGTGCTCAGCCAGCATTTCTTTAAACTAATGATGAACTATCTGAAAAAGATATTAAGAAATTAATCCCAGGCTGGGCACTGTGGCTCATGCCTGTAATCCCAGCACTTTGGGAGGCTGAGGCAGACTGATCACCTGAGGTTGAGAGTTCGAGACCAGCCTGACCAAAGTGGAGAAACCCCATCTCTACTAAAAATACAAAATTAGCTGGGCATGGTGGTGCATGTCTGTAATCCCAGCTACTAGGGAGGCTGACACAAGAGAATTGCTTTAACCCGGGAGGCGAAGGTTACAGTGAGCCAAGATCATGCCACTGTACTCCAGCCTGGGCAACAAGAGTGAAACTCTGTCTCAAAAAAAAAAAAAAAAGAAAAAGAAATTAATCCCATTCACAGTAGCATCAAAAAAAAAAAAGACACTTAGGAGTAAATTTAACCAAAGAAGTGAAAGACCTATATACTGTAAATTATAAAACATTGATGAAAAAAATAGTATAAAAAGACAAATAAATGGAAAGGCATCCTATGTTCATGGATTAAATGAATTAATAAAAAAAGTCCATAGTACCCAAAGCAATCCACAGATTCAATGTAATTCCTATCAAAATTCCAATGTCATTTTTCAAGTAAATAGGAAAAAAAAATCCTAAAATTTGTACAGACCCACAAAAGACCCCAAAGAGCCAAAGCAATTTTGAACAAGAACAAAGGTGGAGTACCACACTAGCTGACCTCAAAATAAATACAAACCTAATCAAATGGCATGGTACTGACATAAAAGCTAACACAAAAACCAATGGAACAGGATAGAGAGCCCAGAAATAAACCCATGCATTTACCATCAACTGATTTTCAACAAAGGCACCAA